ACAGCTAAAATATGCAATTGAGGCTCCAGATAAGTTTTGAAGTTTTCTGTTAAAATTAAGTTTTGGGACCAGCAGTTAGCATAACGGCTATGTCCCTGAACTCCCATGTAGTTGACCGCGGTTCGTGTCCCGGACCCGGTGGCTTCAGCGTCACGCCAAGCGCATGTGCATGTGTGCCCAAGATTCTGAGAGGAGAATGGAGGAGAAGGGATTGCAACGTGGCTATCCCCCCTGGGGGGTGATTTCTCGCTTTCTGTCTCTCTGTCTCTCTCTGTCTGTCTGGCGAGCGCACATGCCCTATAGTGAAAAAAACCTCTCCCGAAAAAAAAAATTAAGTTTTCGCCTAATATATAAAAAACACATGTAGGTACTGGCAGATGGTTGTAATCGTTATGTCACTGGACTCCATATTGTCGACTATGCTTTGAGTCTCGGAGCCAGTGGCTCAAAACTCATATAAGGTCCGTGTGCATGTGTGCCCAAAACCCCAAGAGGAGAATGGAGGAGAAGGGATTGAAGTGCGGCCATCGCCTCTGGGGGATTTCTTGTTTTCTGTCTCTCTGGTGAGCACATGTACCCTATAGCAAAAATCTTTCTCTAAAACAAACAAACAAGAAACCCACATGCAACATTTTTGCTGCTTCTGTGATTTCATTTATCAAGGAGATTCAGAGAACTCCCTGTAGTCAGACGGGGCCACATGCAAAAAGGAATGAATTAAAAGTATGGTGAAATATTAGCCTGGGAATGAATCAAGTCCCAGTGCTTGACTACTGGCTTTCTTGGATATGACTCTCCGTCTGCTAGCCGGACAACGGTCACCATGCAGGACAGGTACGAATGATAACTGCGTCCAGGTCCATCCATCTCGTTGTGGGTAGAGCTCATGTAATTGTGGGTAAAATCACCGGCTCTCCTTTTTCTTTAAGACAGAGGTGGCCATGCTATAATCCTTCCTCCTTAGCATCTCTGAGATGAGAGATTTCAGGTATGCACCAGCATGGCCGGCCTTTAGGCTGGAGCAAGAATCAGACCCCAGACTCCCATGTGCTCCTGGCCTGTGGAACAGTTTTAGCAGCATTTGGGTCACCATGGGCCCAAATCACCAGCTTTCTTCGCAGACAGACGTAAGGGCTCCGGGACATTGGGTAAGTCATGTAAACTTTTAGGCTTCTGTTTTCTTACCTGTAAGATGAGCAACCATAACTGCCTGACAGATTTAAATGAAAGAATTTCTGTCAAGCGGCCCGTGCTGTCCTGGCGGCTCTTGGGTCACCAGAAAAGTCATGACGCATTTTCGCACAGAAAAGTATGAAAAAATAAGATGTGACTTTTCTGACGACCCAATACAATTACTGTCATTGTGACTGCCACCTGACCAAGCTGTGGCCTTCAGTAGCAGGGAATGGCCTTTCTCACGTGCTGACTGACAAGAAGCCCTTTTCTTGCCTCTCGCCCTGGCACCGTGTAGGACCTGTGCACAAAGGGCTGATCAGGCCGTGGATTCCCCGAACGTCTGGGGGAGAGAGCGGACCTGGTAACAGGCTTCGGCAGTCTGAGCCACCTCTGGCTCTGTGTCCTACGAGCCACACAGACCTGCACATTTTCTTAGCCTCTGCCCCCCGCCCAGGCAACTGCATCACGGAAACGAGGATGGTGGGTCCCTACGTCAGGGCTGTTGGGCAAATTACATGGAATAAGGAGAGAAAGGCTTCTACTATAGTGTCCTGCACATAGTAGGCTGTCAACGTGTGTTAATTTCCTGTTTCCTTTGCTTCTTACATAATTCTGCCTTTAAGAGAAATCTAGGTTGCCCAGGGTTTTGCTGGGAATAGCGAATACTTTGCTACAGAAAATACGTGTAGGAGCAGGCCTCTGTGCAAATTTAAATGCACATTTTAAATATCAAAGTTCCCTTAAACATATCAGCAAAATCTCTAAACCATGGAGGAGAGAGGGAGAATTACCATACTAGACTAATCGTCTTTAACAAGGAGACTTCCCCAGAGGTCTTATCCTAACAGAGCCAGGGCTTACTAGGCTGCTTCAAATGAAATGACATCGTTCCAAAAGGCATTTGATTTGATGGATGATAACACAGACTTTGTCACCAAGTGAAGCCCTGCTACAGTTTCCCTCTCGAATGAGTTTTCAGAGTACGCAGCCCCAGAACTTTAGCAAGGTGCAATACAAACCTGCTGGAGAATGGTCTTTCTTCATCCTTTTCAGTTTCTTCGCCTTCTTCCTCCCCTCTGAGAGGGAGTCTGCACAAGCATCTGTCTGCTCAAGCTCAATGTCAGAAGTCTCCCCGGATACTCCGTCCTCCAAACCAGCGTCTTCCTGACTAGGACTCAGATTTCTCTTTCCTCCTGTGCTGGTAGCTGTGAAACTGAAATGTGAAAGGCAGAACAACATGAACGTGGCAAGTGTGGCAGGAAGATTAGTCTATACAAATATTGTAATGCTCTTAATTCTATTAACATTGAACTAGCAATCAACACAGACACCTGCTGCCTGCATGTAAAAATAAAACCGTATCAAGAACCAAAGTCTACAAGTTTACCTGTAACATGTTTACCCAGCAGAAAGTTCTAAATTATGCCTGTATAGGAAGGCACATGAACCTTAGGCTGGTCTTAGTGCTTAAGAAACAATTCTAAAGAAAATCCCCATCTCTGGGGCTGGCAGGTGGCGTGATGGTTAAGACGCTGCACACTCCCAGATGACCGACCACAGTTTGAATCCTGGACCTGGTAGCTTGCTTTCTCACTTCCCCTTTCTCTGTGTCTCTCTCTCTGATCACACTGAATGAATGAATAAATAAAATTAAATACATCATTACTAAAAAGGAAAAGAAAACCCATTTCTATTTTTACAAAGCTACTGTAACAAAATAATAATTTTGATTACATTGAATCAGAAGTAGCACTGTCACCTTCATGACCGCCTGAAGGAGGAACAGTAGAGCAAGAACTCTTGAATCACTCTGCCATGGCACTGCTCCGAACCAAATGCAGCTACAGTGTACACCCCCTCCGGCTAATTCTCTTCTTTTCCAAAAAGGTGACTTGTTAAATTTATAATTAAACCTAGTTTCATTTTAAAGGTTTATAGAATTTGACATGTTGAATTAAATCGGATGACACATCCCAATTTTTACCTTACTAAAATATGTTCCCTGAAATATAACTTGATAAAAAACAGAGTCCACATGGCTAGTGAGTCCTGTCTTCTCTAAATGGGCTTCATAAATAGATTTTTTATTACAGCCCTTGAGTTATGAAAAGAATTTTTAAAATCAAGGAATTTTTCTTGAGGGAGGCCACCCAAGCAGAGAGCAGGCAGAGTGAGAGAGAGAAGTCCAACCCACCCCTGCCAGCCTTCTCTAGGAAGTGAACACATGAAAATGTTGCACAGAGAAAACTGTGGGGCTGGGCGGTGGCAGAGGTTGAAAGCAACATTCTGCCAAGGACCTCACTGGGAAGGTAACCAGCTTGTGTCCAGAGAACTCCCTAAGTATGCCAGGCACGCATGTGCTCATGATCTGGGCTGGCTGTAACTAAGGGTGGATCATGGCCTTGGGACCCTGTTGGAGGTGTTGTCTGTCTCTCATTTGTGGAAAAAAGAAATAAAGAAACCTAAAAACAAAACAGAAAAACAAACAACTCTGGCTACCTAACTCCTGCACTCCTATCTTTTCTACATCTGACAATTACACTCAACAGTTCATTCATGGGAAGAATGAATTGCTTCCCTGATTTTTTTTTTAAAGAATTATTTATTTAAACTTATTTATTACTATTATTTTAAAAAATTTGACCAGAAAGAAAGGGAAGGGGAAAGTGAAAATACTAGCCACCAGGTCTGGGATTCGAACTATGGTCAGTCATATGGGAGTCTAGAACCTTAACCACCATGCCACCTACCAGTCCCAACCCATAGGAAGCAGAAGAGGAACTGGAGTGCTTAACGCTTCAGACCAGCTGGCTAGCCTTGCACTTATCCTCTCTCACAGCTATGTACAAGTTTTTTCAAATATCTCTTTTTATTGAGGAGATACAAAGAAACAGGACGATACTAATGACGTTAGGAGAGGTTAATAAAAATTCACGGCACAGTTTACTATTTAAAAACTGATAACACCTTTAGAAAGGTTTATTCATTCATTCATTCATTCATTTTAATTTGATCAAAGAGGGACAGGGAGAGAGAGAGAAAGTGAGGAAGCAAGCCACCAGCATCCAGGACTCGAACCGGGGTCAATCATGTGGGTATGTCCAGCGCTTTAACCACCATGCAACCTGCTGGCCCGCTGAAAGACTTTTTTAAGACAGAACAAGTTTGATTTCAGAAAATTTAGAAAATCCAGAAAGTATAAATGAAAGAAAATAATAAAGACCCATTCTTCCATCACAAAAGAAGCCTAAAAATTCCTCTGTACTGTAAATTCTGAACCTGGTAGCCTCTGAGACATAAATGTTTAATGAAAACTGAGCTTGAAATACTTGTATTAAAAATACTTTGTGAAATACAAAGTCTAGAAATAGTCCCAACTGCATATAGAAATCTAATGCATAAAAACGTGGTATCTCAAATTATTGGGGAAAAGATGAACTTATATTAAAAAAATAGCGTTGGGACACGTGGGGAAGGATAAAATTAAACCCAGACCTCACATTATACAAAAGAATAAATGCCTAATAGAACAGATAGCTAAATGCAAAAGCTGTTAGATAAGTACTAGAAGAAAACCTGGATTTTAAAACTTAGGTGCAGAAAAAGGTTTTCTTGTATGACTCACGATACAGATGCATTAAGAGATTTATAAATTTGACTTCATAAATGTAAAAAATTTTGCATGGCAATAAATAACATCAGCAAAGTTGAAAGGACAAATGACAAAGTAGGACAAAATATTTGCAACATATACCAAAGACACAGGGTTAATGTCTAATGTACAAGTAAGTCAAAACTGATGAGGAAAAGACCAATATTTTTACAGAAAAATGAGAAAGCAATGAATAAACTTCTCACTACACACACACACACACACACACACACACACACACACACACACACACACACACACACACACACACACACACACACACACACACACACACACACACACTCTCCTTGAACACATGAAAAGATGTTCAACTCTGCTCATAATGTAATATAAAATAACACTGGAATACTGCTTCACGCCTACTAGATTTTGAGGTTGGTGAAAATATCCAAACTTTGATAATATGCTTTTGAAAGTTTAAAATTATTTCCAAATTAAAAATAAAGATAATAATTACTGGAGATATCTGATGTATAGAAATTAAGGGAAAGTCAGTGGCCCTGGCGAATGCTCGGTACCTGCCATGACACACTCTAGGACTGAAGTGTGTGTGTCCCCTAATATGCCTGATACAAATACTGTCAACGTAATAAAAATGGGAAGGAGCTGTCTGGATCCATTAGTGAGATGTCTCCTTTGATGAGACTTGATCTCTCTTCAGTCCCTTGGGCCCAGGGCCTCAGAATAGGCATCTGTTCTTTCTCACTCTTTGATGGCTGAGCTCCCTCCCCTCCTTTAACCAACAGGACACCCACACATGAGCACTTCCCAGGGCCACCTCCCAACAGCTTCACTCCTGCCACCAATCCAGCTCCTTCCCCACCGCTGCCACCACAGGCCCTCACTCTCTCACCCCTAGATCTACAACAGGATTCCAGTTGGCAGTCTCCCCCGTCTCCTCTCCTCAGCCTCCTTTCCCCTTCAAAAGCATTCCTTCCAGTGCTGCCAGCTCCTCATCTTCTGTGGCTCTCCCCACAAACCTAAATGTGAGCTGCTTGGCACAGCATCCAGTGTCCTCTACCCCTGGGTCCCCGTCTGCTTTCTGAGCCTTGCCTCCCACTGGGCAGTGGAGCTGCACAGACAACACGGCTTTGCCTCCATGACTCCACTATGTGCACTCTCCCACGTGCCCGCTGTCCCATCAGAGGGCCTGGCAGCCCAAATACACCCCACCTTCCCACTTCAAGTTACTGTTCACGCCTGCACCCTGCTGCTCGGTCTTCCTGTGCAACACCTCTGCGCCCCAAGAAGGTTTTGTGACCTCTGTTCAGTGTTCTCTCCCTTCCATGCTTCCCATAACACTCTGCTCATCTCTCTCCAAGGGCTTTTAAGTCATTCATTCTTTATAATAAACAAAAATTTGGAACAGTGCAGGTGTCCATCAACAGGAGAATGGATAAACAAGCTGGGATATTTACACAACAGAATACAATTCAGCAATCAAAAGCAAGGAACTACTGATACGTCCAATTAACAGAGAAATCTCAAAAACATCCTAAGTGAATGAAGCCTTCACAGAAAAGAATGGGCATTTCCTAACTCCATTTGTATGAAATTCCGGAAAGACTTCACTAATCCATGGAGAAAAAAAAATTTAGAAGAATGGAGGGGGTAGGAGGTAGGCAAGGACTGACTGGTGGAAAAGGAGGAATTTCCTGGGGATGATCTAATGTTCTGTGCCTTTACAGTAATATGATTTTGTCAAAACTCGTATATTCCACAGAACAGGACGGAGTAATTTTAATTTTAGCATTAACCGCAATGAAAATTTTATAGGCACTTGCTAGAATACATTGTTTTAATCCTAACCAAGGGTTATGGTGGCATTCTTGGCCCATAAGGCTCAGGTGCCCAGAAAGCTCCTCTCTCCACAGACGTCTGAGTGTCTATGCAGCCAGGACTAAGTTAGATGTGCCTCTGGAAGATTACCATTTTTATACAGCTTTTAAGTTTACAAATATTTTTTATAAACGTTTTCTCAATTAATTTACAACATGTATTTTAGTTCCTAATCTATAGTTTCTGCTCTCAAAAATACTTTGCTTCCTACGGAGGACTACTGGTTAATGGGCATCCTGCCTGAGAACGTCTTTAGATTCCTGCATCATTAGTACCTTTCACGATGGCTGCATATGTCTACGTATGTAATTTCCACACTGACAAAATGCTCATAACTACTGTCTTCTAATAAAAATTAAAGCTGCAATTGTAGCACATACAGCTTATCTAAAGCAATTTGGGACTAAAAACCATTTTTATTGTACATAAAAACCAGATATACGCAATACTGACTTTACAAACATGATTCTTCGTGTATTTTGAAGGTGCCGTTGTGTGGGTGTGTATGTGTGTAAAGACAATCTCAATGCATGCATGATGATAGGCTCTTTTGTAAACTGATTTTAAATATCAAAAGCTAAAATGAGTCAGGCAAAACAATCTCCCACTAGTTTGAGCTCATTTTGTATGCAGAATTATAATGCACACAGGGAGCTAGTTTATAATGGATATGAAGTATACATTTAAGTCCACAGTAAGAA